CGTTTATTTTGCCAGAGAGGTGATTAACGCGGATCAACCGGGACCAGATTGTGTAGGGCAATGCTTTATGGACTTCTACACATAAGCTTTCGAATTGTTTCGCTCATCTGATCGCAAGCGCCCTTTTACTCACTTTTGAGACTTAGAAGATGCAAACGCAAGCATTAATTTGACGTTTAGAGTGTGAACAGGCCATTAGGGAATCTTCGAACGCAGCGCTCGGCACAATTGGCTAAACAAACTGGATATCGTTTTTGAGACAAAAAGCAAAAGGGATATTGTTTTGTGGTCGAAAAAACACAACTTAGGTTACGTCTTCCAATGACGTTTCGTTTTTTGCGGGTTTAAAGATTCAGGTCAAAGGAACTCCGTAAAATTTTGCGATAGTCAAGAGGGACTTTTTTGCATTTTTTCAGAGCTACCTCGTGCCGACCTGCTCGAACGTTGTAAGAGAGAGGGGTTCCATGTAGGTATTCGAACCTTATAGATTCTTGAGCATCCTATCCAATTTTTTGCAATTTTACAAAAGTTATCTTGCTTATTCAAAGGCGGAAACGAGTCATCTGCTAAGTATATTCCCTCCTTCCTCACCTGCCTTCTACCCAATTCGCACTGCTGGATGGCGAACTTTTTGATCCGATTATTTGCACTTATTATTATCAACAATCAACAGAAATCTTAATCCCTTCAGTAATTTCTTATGCAAACTCGTTTGGTTGCCGTTTGACCATAAGATGCTTGCTATGATGGTCGTCGAGAACTCGACTTTGATGCTAATTTTTGTTTAGAACAGGCACTTTTGAGCAATCACACATGCTCAGTAGCCAATGACGTAAACAATACTTACGCTAGTAGACATAAAATAATATCTATCTTACTTACATTTTTTTGTTGAAAATATGGGAGCGAGGTCTATGGCTTGCTGTCTGGAATCGTGCAGATGTGTACATTTTCACCAAATTCAATTGCTAGAAAAATGAAATGGGAAAACTAACAGCAAAGCGGGCCTTCCTTTTGTTCTTCTTGTTTTGTTCAGAAGGAAGCTGATTAGAAAGAGCAGTGAACAGCATAGCAGGTGGGTTTCTCTAGAAAAGGAGAAAATTCGACTTAT